CTAACACTCCACTCTGTCTTGTGGCCCTCTCTTCTCCTTGATGACCTTTCTTGTCCATGTTCTCATCTACTAGCCCTAAAGATACAACTAAAGTGAAGTAATGGGTGTGTTCCTGTCTTTATTTATATATCTCAGACACTATCCGGGTTGGTTGCCACCAGTTTCAATGAGTTCTTTTCTATTTTCTCATTAGATTGGAGAACTAGTCTAAGATTTCTTGTTAATCACTGTTGCCAAAAAGAGCCAAAGAGGCCAAGTGTGGTGGCATATGCCTATAATCTCAGGGCTTGGGAGGCTGAGGCAGCCTCAGCAACAGTGAGGCACTAAGCGACTCCATAAGACCCTGTCACTAAATAAAATACAAAATAGGTCTGGGGATATGGTACAGTGGCTGAGTGTCCCCAAGTTCAATCCCCGGTACCCCCCCAAAAAAATAAAGAGGCAAAGAAACAGAAGCCAAGCTGAACACAAGGAAAGAATAGTGTATACAATCACTGCTTTAGTACAGAGAAAATTCCTATGTAAGTACTATCTCGCTTCTTATTATGGTAAACTGAGGAAAAATATGTATGTCTGTGTTTGGATCAAAGTAAAAAGAAAACAATACCATCCTCTGCCCTTCTGGGTCAGAAGGGGTGGAAAGTGGAAATAGCAAGAGAAGTTGAGTAAGGCAGTGTACCACTCACTACACATTACAAAAATGCAAACTGTAGCATTTTGGAGACGGCTTACATGAAGGTTTCTAAATTTCCTTTCATCATCAGAAAAACATACCTCTGCAAACATAACAGGCTACCATTCTCTCCAAGTCCTTGTTAATGTTTGACTTTTAACAGAATGCCAGGCACAAACTTCAATGAAATGTCACCTTTAACAATATAATGAGATTTAAAATCCTGTAGAATGCCTACATGATGGATCAACCTTCCTATGAAATCTCCTCTGTAACAACAGTCTAGATGGTGTGGAATAGTGCATAATTTGCATTCCACAGTCAGTGTAACCCATTGGCAGTCAGAAAAACAGTGAAAATATTGCCAGCCATTAAACTTTTCCGGATACAAATGACCTCCTTTATTAACAAAATAAATCCCAGAACATTCGAGGCTGGGATTAGAAGAAGGTGCTTTGTGTAAATCAAACAGCTGGACATCACACCGCACATCTGTTTCCCCTGGAATCATCTCTTCCTTTTCTTAATTCCAGTGCCACCTTTATCCTGGGCTGGGGCATAAAACATTGTCCCCCATTTAATCTCTGGTCCAAACCCAGTGGTCTAAACCACAGCTGAAATCACACGGAGACAGTTAAATAAAAATTTTATGAAAGTTGAATATCACAAAAGGGAAATCTACTCAGAAAGTAGCATTAAACTAGATACATGTGTAATGGCTATAATATTTTGAAAATACTGTAACCATGTATTTTTAACTCCCTGTGGCTCTCTCAGGCATTGAATCAAAGGCTTTCATTGCTTTAGTGGAAAAGCCTATAATACCTAGAAAAAGGAATTGTCCAGTGTTGAGTTTTCAATCAGATTTTTTAAGTTTAGTGAGAAAACTGTCTCAGATGCCTGGTTAATTTGAGCCAGGGCATTTTCTTCCCACAAGCCACGCCACACATATACCTCCACTCCCACCCCTTAATTTTTAAAAGCTTAATTTGCAAATACTAAGAAACCTAGCAAAAAAAATTTTTTTTGAGATACTGAGGGTTTGAACCCAGGGGTGCTCTAAACTGAGTTCCATCCCCAGCCTTGCCTTCTATTTACATTTTTTTTTTATTTTGAGACAAGTTCTCAATAAGTTTCCCAGGCTAGCCTGAAACTTGCAATCCTCCTGCCTAGCCTCCTAAGTCACTAGGATTATAGGCATGCACCTAGCAAATTGTTAAACAGAAAATCAAGATGTGTACTAAGAAAAGTTCCCACCCAATGGCTAGACATACCTTTGGAGAAAAGGAAGAGGAGAGAAATGCAGGGTGAATAATGTTGAAGGGTCTTTCTCCCCCTCCCCTACCATTGAGGACAAACCTACTCTCTAATGAAAAAGTCCTTGGTGAAGGGACAGTGGCTGGAAAACTCACAGGAGTTAAGGGACTTGTCAGAGTGGGAGGCAGCTTTGCTTCCCCTGCATACATGCCCCTCGAGGAAACCCTGGCTTCTTCCCAGTGAAGCTTCCAACACAGCTTCGTAGCAAAAGTGTAGCAATAGCTGAGGAAAGCTCCTGCAGTCCTCGTGGTGGACAGAAGATGCTTTTCACCAAGGAAGGGGAAACATCCCTGAGGATGTTAACTGGCACACCTGCTATGGTGCAGGGATGAGGGGTCCCACTTGGAAGAATGAAGTTCACTCTAGAGCAGACGTCCTGGGAAAACCGCCTGGAGATTCCTGGCCACGCCACACAGGGTCAGTAACATCAGGAGAATAAAAGAAGAGGCTCAGTCAGCAAGCAGGGAGCTTGGGCCTTGGTCACATCAAAAGGAAGACCTCAACCTACCCCAGCCAAAAACATTCAGCAAAGGGCCTGCTGCCTTGCCATCCGAGGACACCCGAGATTCCTGCCTGGGGAAGCAGAAGGCAGAGAAACGTTCAACAGGGTGGAACCAACTTTTACAGGTAGTATGAGGTTTGCCGTAAACAAATATTACCTGCAAGACCATAATACCTCAGAAGATACTAAATGGCTCCTAGTGCAAGGGGTTCACAACTCTCAGCCATGAATAGGAACAAGGAGGAGAGAGACATTGAGCCCAGAGACAGGAAACAAAGCTCCACTGTTTGCACACTCTTATTTATAACTGTTAAATTTAGACTCTCTAACATAAAGAATGTGTGGAATGTGGCTTTTTAATGAGTAGCTTACATGCTACAGAAAATGTGGTAGTTTCCTCAGAGTATGCTAGATGGTTCTTGGCTGGCCTGAATTGTCCTTTGGCCACTCTCCTGGATCCCTTAAGAGAGCAAATAGCTAAGAGCATTGGTTTTGGATTCATGCAGACCCGAGCCCAAACCCTAGTTATCTCACATCAAACAGTTTGGTCTTCAGTTACCTTAACATAATAGACCTGAGTGTCTGAATCTTTTGGGGGGGATGGTGGCAGTTACTGGGGATTGAACTCAGGGGCACTCGGCCACTGAGCCACATCCCCAGAACTATTTTGTATTTTATTTAGAGTCAGGATCTCACTGAGTTGCTCAGTGCCTCACTGTTGCTGAGGCTGCCTTTGAACTTGCGATCCTCCTGTCTCAGCTTCCCAAGCTGCTGGGTTTATTGGTGTGTGCCATTGTGCCCAGCCAGAGTCTTCAACTTTAAAACAAAGATAATAATTGGGCTTGCCTCACAGAAATATTGTGAGGAGTAAGTGAAATTATACATATAACAGAAGATGTGCCATACAATTAAAGCTGTGTGTGTGTGCCCTAAAATGCTACCAAATGTATAGGATATATACAGTCCTGCACTAACGGTCCCCATAGTTTCACATCCTCTGGAAGATAAGCTGTCTCTAGGATGTCAATTCCACAAATACAGAGATGCTTTCAGAGGCTACTGCAATCCCTGTGCTCTGCATTTCCTGGATGTGGGCTGTCCCTGATGTTGGCTCCTCACCACCATGACTAATAAGGGCTACAATTTCCAGAAAAACTTCACCATGTGCTGCACATGTATTAACTCACAATCCCACAACAGCCCTAGTAGGTAAAGGTTATTATTACCATTTTATGGATAGGAAGATTAAGGCAAAAGGTTGGGTAACATCCCCAATGTCATTAGCCAGTAAGTAGCTGAGCTGGGATTTGCAACCAGGCTCTCTAGATTAATATGCCAGGTTCATTACCACTTCACTCTTGCCTCTTCAGAAATATTTCTTCTCTCCACCCTTCTGGCTTCCGAGAATTCCTTCCCTATGGAGTACTCCCCGTATCTTGAATGGGGTCTTCTCTCTAGCTTTTTCTCCCTACTCTCTCTCTCTTTCGCAGCCAACCAATGAAGACAACACTTGCATGAATAAATCACCAGCCCATTCATTCAACTTTACCATCCTGTCTGGGTCCTCTAGGCAATATCTGCGCATGCTCTCAGACTTTTGTGGTTGCAGCTGAGTCTGCAGCTCCTCCAAGCAGCTGAGCCAGCTAACTATCTCTGAACCCATTTCCCTGTAGATTCAACAAAAAAAGCATCCAGATGTGTCAGATAGATGTAACTCTTGATCCCGAGCCCGTGAATGTGCTGATGCTCTGTGGACTTGCCTCCAGCTCCTCTCTTTGGGTCGACCTCCATGCAGATCTGCAGCACAGCACAGATGGCTCTGCCCACATCCCTGTCTGTTTACAAGGCCGTCGCTTCGATCCTGCGGACACCTGGAGCCAAACAGACTTGCCTCACTGATTCAAGGAGCCAGAACAGCGTTATCTTGCACATTTGCCTGATAGTTAAGTGTTGTCTTATTTGTCGTAATTTATAAAGATGCCATAGATGGGGATTGGAGCGTTTCAGGACATGTCACCCTACAGTTTCAGCAGATGGTGATGCTGACTCAGAACGGTTGACTTATGTCCAGGGCCTTGTCCTTGAGTAATCTTTGTGCCCGAATCATCCATAGATGACTGTTTTTGAAAAATTAAGTTTCAAACATTGGGGAAAGGGGAAGCCCAAACTTGGCTGGTTTAAACTAAATACCTTGAATGGAAAGGAAAGATTTTCCTGAATTATCTGAAAAATTACAGTCGCTTTTTCTCTGACAGACTGTCTTGCGCCACCCTGAGGGGCATCTCTGTGGTTTGAACTGGTCTGAGTTTGTTCCCCAAAAGGTTCCTGTGTTGGAAGCTTGGCCCCCACTGTAGCAATGTCAAAGACACTAGGACATTTCAGAGGTGGGACTTAGTGGGAGGTAATTAGGTCACAGGACTCCACCCTCTGAATGAACTATTGGCAAATAATTGACAAAAGAGAAAGTCTGGCCCCTCCCCAGTATCTTGCTACCTAGCTGGCACATGGGCTCCTGCAGGCTCGCAAGCCAATTCCCTTTTCTACTTCTCCACCAGGCTGTGCCACAGCCAAACAGAAGTGCTGTGCTATTTGATCTTTTCAGCCACTGGAATTGTGAGTCAAATACACCTCTTTTCTTTATACATTTCCCTCTTTTCTTTATAAGTTTCTGCCACAGCAACACAAAAAGAACTAAGATAGGCCTTAAACTCATTTTTATACATTTTTTAAAAAAGAAAAATTTATCCTCTGGATATATCTAGAAGACTAAGTAAAGTGCAGTTTTCCATTTTCATTGATAATTACACTTTGGATAGCTACTAAGGAAACATTTATATTTTCTCATAAATGAAGTTTATTTCTAGGTAAATGTCTAAATTTTTTCATGTATAAAAGTGCTTTAAAAGCTGAATACCTATAAATTCATTTCATGCTTTAATTTTTGAGACAAGGTAATTTCGAAGACAAATTCTATTAAAATGTAAGTAACTAAAATATTATTAATTAATATTTCTATGTCCCCTTAAGTGGCTTTTAATCCTTACTTCAGTGTTATAATTTTTTATTGCCAATAAAAATTAAAAATGCCCATTAAATATCTAACATATAATTATGATTTAAATATACTACAAAATGTTTATTATTTTAAATTCAACTAAAAATCAAAATACTTTGAATAGTTAAAGACAAACCTAAGGCCAATATTTGTTACCCATTAATACGAATAATTTATAGCAACTAAGTTCAGATAATTTGAAGGAAAAGAGCACATCGTATATACATTTTGCAGTAAAATTTCAATAAACCCCAGCCTAGGAAAAAGATCCAGAAAGGAGAGTAAACTGGGATTTGTGAGCATCCTGGGGGAGGCTGAAGTCTGGAGGACCACCCAAAGATAGTGTAGAGAGTGACAATAGAGTTAGAAAGGACACAGAACCCGGGGCGTCAACTTTGAAAGGCAGAAAGAGGAGGAAGGCATGGAGTCCATGAAACGTCCTGGTAAAATTTGGCAAAATGGTTTAAAGAACTCCCAAGATAAAACAGTGTCATGAACGAATGAAAGAGGATGAGAAAGCAGTGGCAGAGAAACATCTGCAACAGAGGACACAGGATGAGGAAGAAGGATCTTCATGTTGTTTAGAAAATGAAGAGACGGGTGGTTGTTATGTCATACACATGGGGCGTCGGCCTGTCCTGTGCCTACAGTTCTGCGATTAACATAGTGAGAGACGACTGTCCTGGGATAGGGAATTATCTGTATGTGTCGAATGGTGGCAGCATGTCAAGGAGGGGACACTGGTTTTGAGTGGGACATTTAAACTAACACCCAAGCCAAAACTGAGCATGTCATTTGTGTCCATGAAGGAAACTTATGCGGACACATTTAGGGTCAGTGTAGAGGGAAAGTATAGGTAATGACTCCCTGCTGGAGGCACACTCCCTGGGTTCATATTCTGGTTCACCTACTCATTCTCTCATTTACTTACTTGGAGAGTGCCATCTGCAGTGTGGGGGTAATAAAACAACGTACCAATCTGGTAAAATTGTAGTGATGATTAAATGAGACAAAACATCTGAAGCCATTAGAATACTTCCTGGCCCATAGCAGGTGCTCAGTTAATGCTAGCTATTGGGAATGAGATGCAATACACTACTTTTGCCAAGTGTCTGTCAAATAAATTCATAGGGTTTGAGCTCCTGTCTCTTTACATGTAAGGTAGAGTGTTATTTTCCACCAACCAGTAATCACTAGACATGCCACATTCCTATTTAATACACACACAGTAACTGGCTCTGGAGTCCGTCTTTCTGTCCCTTGTTCTGCACATTTAGGAGTGGGTCCTCCAGCTTCCTGGTCAAGCCTTGTGATGCTATGCTGCATGGTTGTCAGCGAACCTCCTAGGGGGTTCTTTCTCATTGTCTCCGTGTGGTAGGAGTACCCTGTGTCCTAGGCTGTAAAATCCAGGCCCGATCTATAGTCTCAGAATGAGGATGAGACACACTTGACCTATGGGCCATGGTTCACTTTTTCAGTAAAATCCCTGCAATTCCTTGCAAAGATGGCTGCCCTTCTCCACTCATCTTCTCCTGCAATATAAGAACCTAGTCTTTAATCTATGGTGCATGCACATGCAGGGCAGTGCTCCAAAATATGCTATATCATAGGCAGAGCAATCTGAAGAACATGGTTGGCACTTCTTCCTGGCACTCCAAGAGGAGTACGCATGGATCAGATCAGGGAGAGGTCTCTCAATCCCTCAAGCAAACCGGGACATCTTCTACTTTCTCTCAGGACCCTCCTCACTGACCTTCATCTGGCCCTTGGCTTGGGACAAGGATGTGTAGAACAACATCCTCTGCCAACCCTCAAGAAGGTACGTGGGCACAGCTACTTCTTCCCTCTAGCCTCCTTTGATCACCTAGTTATCTTGCTGGTTTCTTTACATCTTTCCTCAGTCTGCTCAAGAAGTTGCTCTGATTTGTCTTGGTAGGCCCCATGGAGTGTCTCAAAACTGCTGAGGAAATAGCCCTCACCCTTCAGCGAGACAAAATGGGAACATTTTCATTTTTTAAGCATGCAAGAACTTTAGGATCTCTGATCGTCAGGTGTTGGGCACTGTCTCTCCAGATTGGGAGAAATGTTGAAGATCTGCCCTAAACAATGTTGAGCTGTAATGTTCTGCAAGGTGCCTTGCTCTTGCCATCAAGTATGGTCTTCTCCCTCCATCTCTTTAACTTCCAGATATCAGAAAGAAGACTTAGATATTCCATCAGAAAATCCTGTCCTGGAGACCCCAGCCAGGGGATACCTGGTAGTGCTTAGAATAAGGAATGAGAACCACAAATCAAAATTAATTTTCATAAATGTGATATTAGAAAGAAGGAAGAAAGCAGATTAATACCTTCAACTGTAGACAAATTTGAGGTTAGAGGATATTCCACTCATTTCCTCATGCCTTCTGCAAATGCTAAGAATGTTCTGTGTTTCAGGCACTGAGCCAGGCACTGGGGCAGCAGCCATGAGCAACAGCAGGTGCCCCTGTCTTAGCCTGGTTAGAGTCAATGTAGAGCTGGGGAGAGGCAGACGTTAATTAAGTAATCACGCCAATAAACACAAAATCAAGTTGTTAGCAGGGCTGTGAGGCAAGGACAAAAGGTTCCACGGGGGAGACGGCAATCATCCCTGACCTGCTCTGGGCATACAGAGGAAGATTCCTGAAGAAAGCGATGCCCAAAGTGAGACATAAAGATTGGGGAGAAGGAGAGAAAAGAGAGGGTAAAATAGAGAACATGAAAGTCACATATTTCCCTAAATAAATTCTCTCTAAATCCGGGTCAGCAGTGGTGTTTTATTATCACATGTGAGCATGTTACTATGGATATTACTACCACACGTAAATACAGAATATAGATTTGCTCATAGTGTGCAAGTAGAACTATCTTGTTTCAGAATCACCAATAACAATCATATTTAATAGCTTAAAAGACTAATTCAGAGTCAATGGTCTTGCTAGGAAGAGGGCACTGAAGTCAATGTGAGATTGGGAAGGATCTCGAATCTGCCTCCACATTCCCAGAAGCCAGCACAGGCTTTCCAGGAACGGAACAGCCTGGAGCGAGTCACTCTGGCTGTTAGAACTTGTTCCTCAATCTGAAAATTGAGAATGTTGTGATAAATTATCTTGAATAACCTTTCAAATTCCAAAATGTCATACTTCTGTAATTATTGTTGGCAGTATCTGGAGATATAAAATTAAGATAAACTAGTGGTCCAAAGACTTCTGTGGTGTGACTACCTATGTAAAACAGTAAGCGGAAAAATTTTTTGATCCTAGTTGGGGTTATGTACAGCTTATACCTTAAACTAGGCACTTGAAAAAGTTCACTAAGTTTTTTTAAAAAATGTATGCATTTTGGAAAAACAAGAATCCATTTTGAAAGTCTCACAGAAATTTATGCTGATGGAGGTACGGATGTGCAGGAACTAGGAACATCTTGCAGTGTTACAACTCATTAAAGTACTCAGTGGACCATAGAATACAGCATCTGAGTAGCAAATAGGACTCTGAACACTGTTTTTGTAATTAAAATTCTCTATTTAATTCACACGAAATATATAATAAAAATAAATAAATAGAAAATGCAAAGGAAAACAAACATTGGGAAATAGTGTTTCAAGTCCTGGCTATTTGTTTTTCAACTTGGAGGGTATTTCAAGTTGTATAATCATGATGTAGTTAAAAATATAATGAGGAATTGGTGCTGGTAGTTTTATAGGGTTCCAAGATTGGTTTTTATGCATCAGGCTTTTTGTTATTTAAACTTTGTTACTGTCATCATTTTTCTAGCTGTTGGGTTTAACCTTTGAACACCACAGACTGCGGAACCATAGAGCATACTTGCAAACAAATGAAAAATGTTACTGAGCCCAGTGATCCATAGGGCATGTCATTCCACAGTGAAGTTTCCATGAAATGAGGCCTCTGTATTTGCCCATGTGTTTTTAGGTCAAGCATGAACTGCCCAATTTATAAGCTGCTGTCTATGAATTTAGTTGTTATGATTCCCATTATTTAAAAAAATCATTTAAGACTAGTCTACACACATATAAGGTAGAGAATTACTGGAATAATCCTAGAATCTGAAGGCTCATCAGACCTCAGACTCTTCTAGATTGACATTTCCTCTATGGGCCTGAAGATAAGAATAAACTGGAATCTTGTTCAATTTCTTGAAAAATTAAGAACCGAAAAAAAGAATATTGTTGGGTTCCAAATCGATACAACTAAGTCGGAATCCTTGACAAGAAAAGCCTTGATGTGTGTTCTCAGGGAACACCTGAGAAAGTATGATCCGGTGCAACCTTATCTGAAATCTGGATCTCCGCCTTATATGATTCCTTAATATGTGCATTAAATGAATTGGAGTGTTGTTTGATTTTGTTCCAGAAGTGAGTCCAATGCATCCTCCACAGATATGAAATCAAAACAGGGTACAGAGGTCAATTTTGTGCACCAACTGGACGGAGCTAGAGGAGGTCCAGATACCTGATACAGTATTGTTTCTGAATGGGTCCAAGAGGGTATTTCTGGAAGAGAATAGTATCTGAATTATCAGATTGAATCAAGGAGGTCCATCGTCACCAATGTGGGTGGGCATCATCCAATCTGTTGAGGATCTGAATAAACAAAAAGTTGGAGGAAAAGCAAGTTTGCTCTTTTTGTTTGAGCTGGGACATCTACCTTCTCCTGCTCTGGGAGAATACAACTCTTGGTTCTTGGGCCATCAAGCTTAGACTGACCACACTACTGGTTTTTCTGGTCCATCATTGAACAAGCTCATCCCTAATAGTATATCTCTTCCTATCTGTCTCTATATAGTCTATCAGTTTCTCTGGAGAACTCTGACAAATCCAAGGGTTTGTAACCTGGTTTTCTTTCTTTCTTCCTTTTTTATTTTTTTTTGGTACCGGGAATTAAACCCAGAGGCATTTAACACTGAACCACATCCCCAGCCCTTTTAATATATTTTATTTAGAAACAGGGCCTGGCTAAGTTGCTGAGACTAGCTTTGAACTTGTGATCCTCCTGCCTCAGCCTCCTGAGTTGCTGGGATTACAGATGTGCACCACCATACCCAGCAGTAACCTGGTTTTATTTTATTTTTTGGTGGTGGGGAAGGGGGTGGGTACCAGGGATTGAACTCAGGGGCACTCTGTCACTGAGCCACATCCCTAGCGCCATATTCTGTATTTTATTTAGAGACATGGTCTCACTGAGTTGCTTAGCATCTCGCCATTGCTGTGTCTGGCTTTGAACTTCCAATCCTCCTGCTCCAACCTCCCGAGTTGCTGGGTTTACAAGCGTGTGCCACTGTGCCCTGCTGTAACCTGCTTTTCTTGTTTGTACGTTTATTAATGTTTCTAAGACAATGCTAATGCCCAAGATGGTTTAGGAACAGTTGTAGCCTCACTTTCACTGACAGCCCATCTCTGCTTAAACACCTCTAAGCCAAGAGCCCAAGTCACTTCCACCTAATTTAATTATAAATATCTTGTTTTCTGTACATAGAAAAGCTTTCTCTATCCAATTTACCATTCTGCTTTTGCACATAGACACACCTAGTCTAGGAAAAGAAGTAGAGACTTTGATTCTGGCTGTCAATATATGTACAGTGAGTTGGAGGTAAGTTCTTTTGTTATGACATCTTCTCCAGAGCAAGATAGGAGGGATCGAAAAGGGAGGAGGGAAATATGACAATATATAATATGGTATTACACATTTTGAATATTATAAAATTGAGCTATTTGGGAATCCCCTTGAAGAAAATTGCTGTTCATTAAATGAGCACATTTCATATTTTAAATTGATGCCACGAGCTTCTCTAGTACTCTGTCAAGTCATTAGAAATACACCCGACTGAATTTTCACATTGCTGTCTTACAAATATATATTGAGGGCTTATTACTTTCAGGCACTGTCATTGACATTGGGGATACGGCAGGAAGCAGGACCAAAGACCCTGCCCCTTTGTAAACTTCCTTTGGCAGAGGATAGGAAGGAAACAATTTATAATGAAATAAAGATATATAATGAATATCTGGCAAAGATGAGGCTATGGAGAATATAAATCAGGCCAAGGGGACAGAGAATGACTGGAAGACTTTTATGCAGCACAGCATCTAGCATATCACCATTAGTTGGCATTCATTAGCATGATTTATGGGTATGCATCATCTCCCTTCACATATGATTTTAATGATGCTGGCAATGTTACTTTCCATATTTATGGACATAGCTGTAAAAAAAAAAAAAAAAAAAACCCTGCAGACTGTTCCCAACAAAAATTTTATCAAGCCTGCTTCCTGACTGCAGGTACCAAGGCTAGGCCTGTCACTGTGGCTGACTGTCCTAGCCTCACAGGCTGCTCAATACCTTGAATCAAAATGAGCCACCCCTGTCTCACTGCCATGTGCCGTGTCTACCCACAGAGAGTACCCCCCCCCATTCATCACCCCCTGGCGGCAGCCCGCTGGGCAGGTGTCACATCCACATTTCCAGATGGACTCCTCAGTGGATGCATCTGTGCAGCTTTCTTGCACATCTTGCTGTGGAGCAGCCACTCCAGGGTCCTGCTGCCATCCATCCTCGGCCAGTGCGCAGCCAGGCAGAGCGGCATCCACAGCTTCACATGTGCAGGCTGGCTGCTCTCCAGGGCAGCTGGTAAAGCAAGAGTGGTGCTGTGTTGCTAAGTACTTACATAGTGATCATCACCTTGTGGCATGGCAACATGCAGATCCAATAATATGTTCAAATGAAACCGGGACAAGTTCACTCCTTCTCTCCACCTCTGGGAAAAGTGAGCCATGAATAGGCGTTAGCAATGACTGGGTTCTGAAATATAAAATTAGCAAGCTTAAAATGTCATGTGTAGCATTATTGTGGTGCTGACAAAAAATCATGATGCAGAGACGCCTTGCTCGGTATGTGCCAACTTTTAACCCAGCGGTTGGGGAATAGCACCATATAGTATGTGTACAAATTCCATCTTTGATGTTTACAGCTTGTTTCTTTTAGAAGCTCCTTTATGTACATTACATCATTATATGTTCACTGGGTGTCCATTGAAAATATTTTTAAATGTGCTATACAAATTAAAAGTCACTAAAATGACATTTTACAATGTTTAAAAAAGTTCACTTGACTTCTCTAATCCACTTCATGACACTGCCCTGAGCACTTCATCCCAACTCTTGGATAACTACTCCTTTATTCCAAGATGGATATATCCTAAAGTTTAGCATGCCACATTTTTCCTTCCCAATATCTATTCTTTTCCCTAAGATGTCACTCATCTTCTTAGTGTCTTCAATTTCATCTCTTTCTGGGTGATTCAAAAATCTTTCCCTTCTACCTTAAGATTCACATACATCATCAATAGCATAAATTATAGCATTTGCTGGTAAATGGAGGGTTCTGGAAATAACATATTAAGTAAAATAAGCCAATCCCCCTAAACCAAAGGCCAAATGTTCTCTCTCATATGCAGGGGCTAAGTCACAATAAGGTGGGGGTGGTGGGGGGAGAAGTTCATTAGATTAGAGAAAAGGGAATGAAGGGAAGGGAATGGGGAAGGGAATAGGAAAGGCAGTGGAATGAATCGGACATGACTTTCCTATGTCAATGTATGAATACACAACCAGGGTAACTCCACATCATGTACAATCACAAGATGAGAAGTTATGCTCCATGTATGTATAATCTGTCAAAAACATGCTACCATCATGTATATCTAAAACCAACAAATTGAAAATTTTTAATAAAAGATTGGCCTATGTAAGCCCCAAATGGATTGCCTCATGGAGGGTTTTAGAACAACCAACCATTCATTTGGATTAAAATGTAGATAACTATTTTCATACTTCCTACAAAATTCAACTGTAGATGGATTAAAGAGATAAACATTGTTTTTTAACGTTTTTCTATAAAATCAGAGTGGTCATGAAGTTTAGTGATGGATTGATGGACAACTGAATCTCTTTGATAATATCTTCTGAGATAAAAACATAGATCAGTGCCCTCCAGATGCACAAGCAGGGTCTGATGGAAACGAGGCCAAGGCACATTTATAATAACTTTGTAGTGCATTGAACTCTATGGCAATTGGGTCCAACACATGGAACATATCGTGAATGTCATTCAATAGAATATTGATATGCCTTTTATTATGCATATTTACTTGTCCTTCCAGATTTTCTGGCCACTCTATTTAAGGAGAAGTGATTATTTTATTTAACACTATGGGATAAGAAAGGCATTTCTATATATATAAAACTCAGAAACTGTAAATACTTCTAAATGCATTTTAAGGGTCCTCAAAGAATGCACACTGATAATTTTTAGTGAGTAGGATATTTTTATTTATCTAAAAATGTTTTATTTTTTAATTAATGAGACTATTAGCATAGATTACTTGTACAATTTTTAAAACAATAAATGTCAAGCATGCAACATGGCACTTAAATGAGTTGTTAATAATCAGTATATCCACTGGAACGATGTGCATACATTTCTCTGTCATACACTTTGTAAAAGTGCTGACAAAAATACAAAATATAAGTTGCCTATAAATTCTTCAACTAAACAAGAATAAACATGCAGAGAGAAATTTTTCTCCTCAAGTTACTGAAGTGGAAAGCCAGCTCTAGAAGTCTACAAGAAATGACAGAAACAAATATAACTATTTTGATTAGAAATGTCAGAAACAAGAAGCAGAAGCCCTAGGAAACAATAGGATAATAAATTATGGATTAAAACAGCTGTTTCCCAAATTTTTCCTTTGGAACACTAGCACTTCAGAATGTAAGTGTTCTGCAGGGGAATCAAACTGCTTCATCATCCAAAAAGTTTGGAAGAAATCTAGGCTAAGCATGAACATATTTCTTAACTTCCAGCCTTCTAGTAGAAGCCTTTATAATGTTCAGATACATGGCAAAGCTCTAACAGAGGGAGTATCCAGAGAATTTCATATGATTTGAGCTCAAATCCTTTTTCTGTGGTAGCTATTAACAGTTCATGTTATGCAAAATGCTCAGCAATATGTCAAGAAAGGTGCTAAAGTCAAAATGATTAGTTCCAAATATAGAAATTACCAATGACACTCCTGATTTCTTAGCTAATCAAATAAGCTTATACCATACATATAGGCTGAGCCAAATGTTCCTTTGGTCCAAAAATCATGGCAGAAAATTTTAGAAATTCTTAGGAAATCTTTGCCTAACTGTTCATCCTCACATGTACTCCACATACTCAAATGCATCTCTTATTAAAACAGGTACAGTGTTTTAAATGATTAATAAAGTTGTCTTCCTTTTGCTTAAGAGTTTCAGATCAATATCCTTTGAATTCAGAACTTGTATAGTCTGGATGCAATTATATTAAAAGACTGCACATCAAAAATATATAACAAAACTCCTATAATTCAATTTATACTGATTAATAATGTCTATAATCACAAATAAAATTAAATATAAGTACATTATGGAGTATATTCAAAGAGAAGAACCTGCTCTAAAATAGTTTACACAAATCAGATAACAAAAGATATGTAACATGTAAGGGAAATTTTCTTGCATATTAATGCAAACATGGATATATCTTCATATGAATATGCATGTGTATTAGGGATCTCATTTTCCTTCCCCTTGTAA